GTCCGCATTCCACAGTTGCCGTGCTTCGGTTAATTAGCAATTCGGATAATCGGCGTTCTGCTGTATGTTACTGGGGCAGAAGGAAAACATACGGCGACCTTCAGTCCGCGGTTTTTTGAAAAGGTGGATAGAAACAAGCCATTCGGCGCAGTAATGACCCACGGGAAAATTTGTCAATTATAAGTGGGAAAGCACATTATTAATTTGATCATAAATCAGGCAGTTAACAGGAAAAAACGAGACAAGCATTTAACAACAAGGCAATTATTCACTTGGCCGTTCATTCTGGAAATAAAAGCAAAATATGTAAGATTTGAGGTTTCCACAGCGGTGACTATGAGGAATGCCGCCTTCTGGGATGTGGCGCCGTGCATATCTTATGTGAACTGACGTTTTGGAGGAACGTCGGTTCATACAAGATCTGCACGGCGCCACATCCCAGAAGAAGGCATTCTTCAGAAGCAAAAGACGCTAAGATCGGCATTGCTTTGTGCACTACCTGCGTGAATATGTGTATGTGTGTGCATTATACAATGAATACTGAAGCGACTGGTGCTCTGAAGATCATATGTATTCGTCTCATAACAAAGTCAGCGACGTGTCCGGACCTCGACCAGAAATTTGACCCCATCCTTCCAACATCCAAGATCTTGAAGAAAGTCGTCTTCTGGGTTTAGGCACCCAGAAGACGACTTTCTTCATTGTCATCGCCGTGAAAACCTCAAAACTTACATCCAAGATCTTGCTCATCCTATCCCTGTGTGCAGTTCAACCTGTTTAAACGTCCTGAACTTAAACGTTACATTATGAAAGCCTCATCCTAGTAATAACCAAGATGTGAGGATGATAGTTACACTGGAAAGTTGCCAAATACAACAGTATCTCGCATATCCCGGCTTCGACCAGTCCGGATTCACTAGTCCGGTTTGAAATTTTTAAAACAAACTAAATTTTAATTGAGCAAAATAAAATAAATTCTAAAAAATTCATACACAAAATTATTTTTAATTCATAAATGATCGTTTTTTTCCCCCTTTATACGGTCAAGTCTCTTTTTGTGCGGTTTATTTTTATGTGGTTTTAAAGTGATACGATACATATTTCCATTTTTTCTGGGGTTCCCCGTTGTATATGTATGTACCTATGTTTGGGTCGTTCGTTCTTGAGTTCTGACAGCTATCGCTGGAGGAGGCGGGGGGAGCACTACTTTAACGGAATTGGAAGAGCTACATCATCAAAAACGCTATCGAAAATATAGGCAAAGCATGGCATGAATTAACGGCAAGCAATATGAGGGCAGTATGGAATCACATCATACCACATCGTGCAAATGATTTCATTGGTTTCGAAACTCATTTTGCTGAAGTCACTAATAACAGTGGAAATTGGACAGTAACTTGGTTTCAATGAGTTAGATTCCGTCAACGCAATTGAGTGCATCAAAGCGAACACTAATGAACTAGATAATGAAACACTTATTAACATATGGAGATTAAGAACGGGAGGACAACTTAGACAAAGATGACTGTGTTGAAGTGCCTGCACGAGAATTAACAGCTGAACAACTATAAAAAATTATTGGAATTGTTGAAACCTTCTCAGAGCATATTATGGAAGTTCATCCCAATATTGAACGTAGCCTTACAATTCGCCGAACGATAAACAATGCAATTCGTTGTCACAAAGAAATGTATGACGAGAAAAGGCCAAAGAAGAATGTGCAGACATCAATATTGAAATTTTTAGAGAATAAAAAATGAATTGCGAAAAACAGGATTTTTTTTAATTATTTCTAATAAAGACATTTGAATTTATTAATCGCGTTTTATTTATTGAGAAACGGAGATTTTTTTGGACCAATTATCATTTTTGTATGTATTTAGTTCCTCGATTAGTCCGGTTTCAAACAGTCCTGGGTATTGGCGGAACCCATTACCCGGACTGTGCGAGGTATCGCTGTATTTCAATACGACTCCCTTTCGTGTCCTTCACAATTTATCGTTAACGATCTACTGACTGTCGTACAACGTCTGAAGGGTCTGAAGCATCGAGAGCGTTGTCGTAGCTATAGACTCGTACTCAGGATGCCCTTGTTTCGAATCTCGGCCGGGACACCGGCTATCCTGACTTAGGGATTTCTTGCTTTTCCTCAGTCCCACCATTCAAATGCGGGGCAGCACCTCGAGAAGGCCACGACCACTTCCTTGCGTTCTTTCAAAACTCATTTCGAATGCTACCAATCGATGCTATACCAGTATATTATGGCTAATGGTAATACCATGAAACAACACACAGAAGAAACACATCAGGCCAAGTTGGTCTGGTCTCTGCGTAATGTGTTAGAATGCTTTAAGGACCCTGAAACGATAAACAAAACATTCTATCGTTCTTTCTGCTGTGGCCCATTCCCATAAGCCTCACAGCAAGACACGCAGCGTTTAAGGACCTGTAAGGCGTCATGGGACGGCAAAGAGTTCGGTTTGATGGCATCAGGAAACTCGAAAAATGTATGCAACGTTAAATTCGTAACTCACCTTCTTCAAATACGCAGTACCAACTGGTATACGGATATGGGTTGAGAGTTATGAGGACTTGGGTTCGATTTGCGACAGGGACAGAGGCCATCAAGCCTCCTACGAGTATGCATGGTTATCGTGGTCGCCGAGACAAGCTGATCACTCACTTTAATCTGGTGTCGAGGTTACGAATGCATGGAACTATGCATCCATTCTCACGTACGTTTTCATTGCATGATGCTTAATTAAGAACAAGGGCAATTTTAGGAACAATAACACTCGAAAATGCAGGGAATATATAACTGAAGATCAGGCAATACGGACCGAATACTGTAAAATGGTAACGGTAAAGTTGTCCCTGTGCATAACTAATTAATCACTACACCATAAAGACGTATGGAGGAGTGGCTGTATAGATCCACGTTTTCTTGGCCTCGGCACTAGTCGGAGGCGAGTGCTCAGCTTCACGCTCCTGCCGCTTTACCCCCAGGGTAAGAGCTCGGGGTACGCATTGGATAGGAGGTTGAGTGGATCCCAGAGTTGGTCTGGAAGCTTTGCATAGAGCAAAATCCTTGCTCCTGTCGGGAATCGAAGCCCGGTTTCCCAGCCCGTAGCCCGTCCATATACCGACTGAGTTTTCAAGGCTCCCTAATGAGAAATGTAAATTGAATAATTATAACCAGAAACTAGTGTTCATATTACAGCGGAATGCATACGTTCTTCGTCAAAAGAGTAAGCAGAACATTTTCTTGGAGACAGTTGACAAATAAATTAAAATGAAAGGTGGGGTTCTGAAGAATATCAATCTTACTCGAGAATAAATGATATGAACTTCGTCCCAAGTGCAAACAATATATTATATGTCCTTGAGCTTGCTCTCCTTTACACTACATGTTTCGGCCTCAAACGGCCATCATCAGGTGTATACACTCACGTTGCTGTTACACTGCACTTAGTTTAAAATTTAACATTTAAAAACACATTGTTCCTTTCGTTCTTATTATCAACATCTACTTCGTTGATATCTGTCTGGTTTATAGATTATTTCTGTTACACACGTTGGCACTTATAAAATCTTTAGTTCTAATTTTAAAATCCTTTAAAATTTTTCTCTAAAATTTAAAATCGTCAGGGTTACTCGCCCTATGTCTATAGTGCTGCAGCGGCTAGTTCTTGTTTCCAGCACTGTATAGGTGTTATTTTATGTAGCCGAAACATGTAGCGTAAAAAAGAGCAAGATCAAGGACATATACTGTTTGCATTTGGGACGGAGTTCATATCATTTATCGTATAGAGTGCAACAAGATGCTTAAATATCAATCTTACTCGAGAATACAACTGAGCTCGAAATAACTAAATGGAAATACCGATATACCGGAACCGGTTCACTGTCACAGATACATCTACTGCTCACAGCTCACAGCTGGTAAAGTTTTACTATACTGTAATACCAAAATATTGCAACCCGCGGAACTATTTTTGTTTTGATACGCAAAACTATGTTGTTACATGCGTCACTTTCAATGGCCGATAATCTTACACCACGTAGGACTATTATACATATTAAAGAGGGTATCCGCTACTTGACGGGGGTACGTGGTAGCGCAGTGGTTAAGGCACTAAGCTACAAGCCGGAGGGTCGCGGGTTCAAGTCCCGATGAGGTCATTGGATTTTTTCAATTGACCTAATCCTTCCGGCCGCACAGAAATGAGTACCAGGAAGTAATTAAATAATTTTCCTGGGGAGTAAAGCACGGCAGGCGCGTAAGGCTGACAACCTTACCGCCGATTGTCAAGGTAATGTGGGACCCTTAACGTCTCACAACCCTATAGGCCTTCACGGCCTGGTACAGGGATAGCTTTACTTTACATTATCCGCTACTTGACAATCGAATTACATGTACGTGACTGGAAGTAAATACATAATGAACGCTCAATAGTGAGGAAGAGGCCACCCATAAGCTGCGTAAAACTAGTTCACAGAAAACGAAGGCTTCTAAACGAGAATTATGGAGAGGAAGAATATTAATTGATGGCCTGCGGCATTTGCAACACCTTGTAAAATGTATCCGATTTCATGTCCGATATTTTCGCGATTGAGTCTTGAGATAATTACCCCGACACTAAGTTACCAGTTCCCTACGCACAATGGTGTGGCACAGTTACACAGTTCTTCAGCACTCTTCACCTGTAGGAGTCAACTTACGAGTTGTCTGCTCAGGTCTCTCTGACACACACACATTACGAGGTCAGTAAGGACGCCGATGGCGTGGGGGAACCAGAGATCTGCCGCTCCGCCCCAGGATTTGAAAGAATCATATTTAAAGAAAAGAAAGAAATATACAAAATATTAATATCAGAAATTAAAATTATTTTGTATTTCAATATAGAAGCCACAATTCGATGGTAATGCATATAAGTATCCTTAAAATGACCTAGGCAAATATTTGTAAGAAAATTTTCTGGGTGCAAAACCCCCCTCACCTCAAAAAAATCCTGGTGGGGTCCGCGGCGATTGAGTAAGATAGAATAGTGCCACTTGCATCTCACTGGATCTAGAACTCGCTATAAGGGTCGTAAGGCTGGTTTCGTTTTCGCGGTCGGAGGAATGTCACTCCACCCTTCACCAGTGCAGAGGTGACAGTACTGTGAGGGCAAGCTGGGATGGCAGACTCTGCTCCCAATGGATGGTTCTATTGTACACTGTAACAGTATTACGTTCATCGTCTTTATACCTCGAATTATGCAATCAGTGAGGAAGTACAAGTCTCTGGCTGACAAAGTTTGTGCGTATTCTTTTGTTGGAAAAATGATTTACTACGTTCACATTGTGCAAAACAAAATTGTAAGAAATCATGACAACAAACGGTGTCAATATTTCCTTTTCTTATAATTGTCATTGCGATCTTGCCTTGCTTCAATTGTCGCTTTGTTCAAATGATACAAACGCCCGACTGATTATATTCTCATCAGAAAACGGTTATCACTTGAAGAATAACGTTTCTTCCCCACAGCGAACAGATTTGTTTAGCATGCTAATAATCACATTCAGTTCAACAAGAGTGCAAACTGCAAAGCCACGGTCAGTGGATAAGAGTGAGGAAGCTCAGCAGAGGGTGAAGAGATTCTTGCCATAGTGCTATCGCTTACACTCCCGTATTTAGCTCCATTCGACACACTTGCAGTTCACTCACTCACTGCACGGTACAAGGTCAATGCTAGTCCGTAAGTGCCTACGTATCGTTACACGGCCCGACAATTAATCGCCGTCTTCTCAAAAATAGTTTCCGTGTTTCAATAAAAAAAAATTGTATGTAGTCAGTCTTACGGGTATTTTTTTGTTTCTGAAGCTGGTCCTGACATCTCTTCAGTCTTTATTTGTCCATTCTTAGCAGTGATGTGTCAGGTCTCGCAACTGAACTACAATTTGGATTCAGTGACACACGGAGATCAGCAGGACCTGGCCAGCCTAAATATCCCCCCTCCAAGCTAAACAATTCAACTTTCTCAAGTTTACGTGACAACAGAAAATTTCCAGATACTGTAACGGAAACCTCCATTGGTGTCCTAATTCTTAAAACAGTTTTATTTACACTGCTGCATACCGCGTTTCGATTGCTGGCAAATAATGGTCATGACGTGGGCAAAGGAGCTGCACAAACTAATTTTCGTCTAGCAGAAATCACATGAAGTAAACTGTAAAATCAGCCGCCTGGTTTGTCTATTCCGTCGAGTCGACCCTGTGGAAAATTACGAATATTATTTGCGTATATATGATACATTTAAAGAAGCTTACAGTAGCTCAGATTATACAGTTCGGAATAATAAGTTGGTTACTGAATAATTAAATCTAAGGACATGGAAGGAAGCAGTCATAGTCTAATTAGAGGTACAGCATATACTTTTTCTCGGAAGCACTGAGCAAAACCATGAAAAAAAACCGAGTCAGAATAGCCGGTTTTGGATTCAAGATTTGAACCCAGGAACGCAAGAGTATGAAAGAATATCATTCACCTGACCGCGGAGTTCGATACGATCATTGGAATATAGTTTTCTTAATTTTTTTTCATGCTTGAGCTGGAACGTAATGCCGAAGACAACACTTACTAAACACCGCCAGGAGAACTGGGATATCGTAATCAGTGCTTCCTTCCTTATCATCAGGCAGTCCTGTTTCGTATTTATCCTACAAACGTCAGTCACCCTGACAAATGCTTCAATGCCTTTGGTCAGTTTCTCAGAGGAAATTTAATATGAAGAGTTCTGTCTTCTAAGATACAATGCCGTATAGTCCGTTGAAAGTCAATCGACATTTCTAAGGAACATACTGCCTCCATCTTCGGTCGATTTTTTGAAGGACTACATGCGCATCCCAGAAAACAAATATCTTCAAAACCAACGCTTCGAGAACCGCATATCCTACTTTTTAAACATAAAATCATTATGACGGTTCAGAAGTCAGTCCGTGTAAATCATAGATGCAAAATGCTGAGAAATAAATAGTCCAATTAAATGCGTTTCGAAACAGATATGAACTTTATAAAGTGAAATATATAAAAGAGAACTGCATATTTCTAATTCTTGATAAGGAGCTGCGACAGCTTCTGGCGTGTTTAGGGACAGCGTTGAATTAAGGGGGGAGTCAATAAACAGGTCACAAATGGATATAAAACGTAAAACATGTGATATTCGAAAATGGAAACTACATGTATTTCTCTACATGTCATCCACCAACATTGGTACTTGTCCCATCGCTTTCCCAGTGTGCTGAAACCCACAGCATAGAAGTCTTTTGACTGTTATCTCAGCCACTTACGTACCTCCGGACCAAACAGATGGAAGTAACTAGGGGCCAAATCCGGGCTGTAAGCCGGATGTTAAAGATCTTCCTACTGTGGTTCTTGAATTCTCTCCTGCGTAGCTCGGGCTGTATGGGATACGGCATTGTCATAATGGAGCAGCACCCCTCTTGCCAGTTGGCCTGGACATTTTCTGCTAATTGCATCGGAAAATGGGCTAGCAGTACTATCTGAGAATCCCATAACACGGTAAGCACAACCTCCCCAGCTGATGGCGTACGAGTAATCTTAAACTTATTGGTTGAACAAAAAGGTGAACTGGGATGTTTCCATTGCATTGAAGCAAGGTTTGATTTGGGTTGGTAACAATGCACCCATAATTCGTCCCTGTTAAGCATATCTTCTCCATCTGCATTCCGTAAGACATGTTGCAAGGACAGACCCATTAGGTTCATTGTTTCTCGATCCTTCATTTCTCTGGGCACCTACCGTGCGCATACTTTCCGAAACTTCAAACGATCAAGCATTATGCTGTAATGCTGAACAATGGAAAACCTCCACTTCAGTTGCTACACTGTCTATCGCTATCCTCCTGTCAGCTGGATTAAACTGTTTCACCCGTTGCGCAGTTGCTTCTTGCGACTTTCGAACGTCTTTGATAATTTCTCGACCAGAACCGCTTTACCGACAAACACTTCGCACCGCAAACAGGAAAAATGTCTTTATGAATATCCTTTGCATTGAGCCCTTTCGGCCGCAGAAAACGCACAACAGAATGCTGCTCTTTGGTAATATACTCCCATGGTCGCCATTTTGACTACTGAAACCTGCCTCTGAACTTGAACATGCGCGTCTGCTACTTAGATTTAATATTATTATTATTGTAGGAAAAATATTATAAATACAAAAAAGGCTAGGCAATGCCCATCCAGCCTTGCTACCTAGATTATAATGAAGCTGGGCTGTGCTACTACCTAGCGATTCACATATAAAACCTATTACGTTCATTACAGCTGTTTTACTTCCGTCTGTGATCTACTTACTGCTTCCCCCTCGCAGATGACGGGATATGAGGGTATGGGGTACAATCATCTAACGAGCCCAAGTTGCACCCAGAAACTTCCCTACTCTCGTGTCTTCGCAGAGACAGTATGAGTAGCATAAACAGATTAAAGTTTTAAACTTCGTTACTTCTGATTATTTACTATTGTGGTTTGAATTAGTTTTCCCCTTGCATTACTGACTTGCGCTGGTTCTCTTGAGACGGTCTAATTAAGTCATTATCGTTTCCTTACACCGGAGGTGAACTGTGGACCATGAAACTGTACAAAGATCCAATCAAAACAAACTGGGCCAGGTAAACATGTAGAAAGGAGACGATTCCTCCGAAAACTGGCCCATACTGACGGTTCTGATGGTCAATCGAGTTCCATCATATTGAGACTGTGTATCAACTAAAAACAGGTAATTCCTCACAATTCCAGAACCGAATGTCGCGGTCGAATGGATAGAACTTCTCCTTCATTGTAGGGAAATCCAGGATCAAATCTCGGCCTGCATACGGCTATCCCGAGGCTTTCCTTAGTTTCCCATATTCCCTCCACGCAAATGCCGAGAGGACAGAAGATCAGATATCCGTTTCCTTCCTCGTCCTCTTCAAATCAAAAGGCCAAGCTAATAACAGCATCGCTGGATAAACCATAAAATCCACAAATCCACATATAATTATGAATATATTGCTCCGATTCTACACAACTATCAGCAAACATAGGGGTTTTTAGATGGGCGACTTCCAACCTATGAGGGCGGACTGTTCTGTTAGGACAGAGTGAGGTAGGTCATTGAGCTATAATTCTCCAAATTTTAAGGAACAAAAAATACTTATGAAATTAAGGCTGTACCTATACCATTACGTTCAGGGAAAAGTTGTTGTTCTTTCCTTAAAAAGTTATCAATATACGTAATAAAAGATATTACATTCACCATAAGCAACCGAACCTGTCCGACAGCACAAATTGGCAATGTTGATCTACCCCAGAAAAATGGAGTGAAATATCTGGGCATGCATCTCGATAGAAGACTGACATGGGCAAAGCACACCAAATCAAAAAGAAGAAAGCTTAACCTAAAAGCGAAACAAATGAACTGGCTACTCGGAAGATCAACACTATCAACAGAAAGCAAACTCCTCCTATACAAAGCAGCACTCAAACCCATATGGACCTACAGAATTCAGCTGTGGGGGATAGCCTCCAATTCCAACATCGAAATCCCCCCAGCGATTTCAATCCAAGATTCTTCGATCTATTCTGAAAACACCTGGGTACATAAACAACCACAGGATCCACGAAGATCTACAAATGAACACAGTGCTCAATGAAATAACAAAGTGAAATACCAACTACTTAAGCAAATTAGAAAACCACACAAATGCACTAGCAGTGAACCCACTAGACCAGTGTTCCGCAAACGGTGTGCCGTCACAAGGTGAAAGGTGTGACGCGAACTTGTACCTATTGTAATAAATTAATTGTCGAATTTTATTCTTTTTATTTTATCCCAGTTACCGTGTTTCATATGCTTGTATTTTATTCTCAGCCACTGCGCTGGTTAAATAAGATGATGCTTGACTATTCTTTATTACATGCTGTGATTTTTTATGTACGGTAATGTTGTAGTCTAAGAATTAAACGTAAATTATTTACTCACAGTTGTTGTTATAACATAGTTTTCATTA